CATTTTTGAAAGGAACATGTGTTCATTAACTTTTCTCTTCCAGCTAGGAGTGCTTTCAATGAGACACTGGACAAGCTAGAGAAAGACAACTGCCTGAAGGAATCATGCAGCACACTGAAAAGGTGAGTGAAGCCTACAGCATAAATATACATTAGAAACAGCGTTCATGTCACTCAATTGAACAACACTAATCTTCTCTGTTTTCCCACGATCAAAACGAAAATAGATTACAACAAAATAAAGCTTAGTATAATCTGTTAATGTTTATATTTGCAGAGTATTTTTTTTTACTTTTGGCAGGATTTAAATTAAATTTGTGTTTAATGTAATCACTTACCATTCACAGTGAAAACTCTGTTTTGGGGTTCAGTTACCTATGTATATTGGTATTCTCAACAAGCAAGAAAGATAAAGATAATTTATAGTATTTCATTTTTTGATTTCATAATAAACAATTTAAATTCCTGGATAAGACCTGCCATAGTTGTCAAATTCCAAACTTGATGTTTAAAAACCTCATAAAAATTACAAAAAAATGCCGACATTGAAAATGCCATTGTATCAGACATATTTACCCCCTCCGCTAAGTAGTACATCATTCTTAAACCTTGATTCTAAGACCTGATGTTTTAAATCTTCAGAGTCGATGAGAAAAACAGAACTAAGGTTTTTACAAGGTACAGCCTTTGCTTGATGCTTCTAACATATTGTTGAATATTAGTCATTTATACTTTGCTGTGTATATATATCATTGTCATGAATATGTTCATTGTGAGGTTTTTTCAAAAAAGAAAAGAATAATTATACATTGCTTCATATTTATCTAAGTACAGTATTGTAAAATCTCTCCTATAAAGACTCTTTCAATCTTTTCATTTTCAGTTATATGTTATCGTCACAATGAAGCTGTGCACTACATTCATATATTCCTCTATGTGAATTTCTTTAAAATTGATTATCAATTGTATTGTATACCTTATCAATTTATAGTGCACTGTAAATAGATTTTAAAATTTATATTATTTCAGAATTACTCCAAGAATTTACTCTCTATCATTTTTTATAATAATAATGAAGATAATAAGTAATAAAATTCCTATAGCACTAAAATAGTGCATTTAATAAAGAAATCAAGAGAGATAAAATTTGAAACCATCCTGTGATAATGCTAAATATTATAATATCTGAAAGTTTAAGATAATTTTCTTGAACATTGTTGATAATATTTATATCAATTTAAATGTCATACTTAGCAGTCAGTCAGCATATTCTGACCGACAGGAGCTTTCATGTTGAATGACAGTTATGACTAACCACAAAATTTGAACTAAGCAAAAAATACATCTCACTATTTTTATCATTTTTGTTTTATAGACTCAATCAATGCCTATAAATTTCCATGTAACATAATCCACTGAGACTCTTTAAGATTCAGCTATGGAGCTAATTTTTCATTGACTGATATATTGTTTAACCATTGTGGTGTTGTTTTTATTATCAATCATTGATAATAAAAATAATATGTATTTACAATCTCTGTAGTCTGCAATAAGTTGTACTGAAATCATGAGATATTAACCACAATGTTAACCTATACATTATAACATGTTTTTTTTCATTTATTAATATTATGTTAGTATTATTTATGTCATTAATACAAAATGTGTATATTATTGTACCAACACATACCTAAAAATAAATAAAAGTTCCACTTGTCTTTGCTTAACATTGTCATCATTGTTATTATTGCCAATTTTGATTTTATTGTCATTATTATCATGTATTTTTGATAAATTTGTTTTTGTATTTTTTTATTTTTATTTTTATCATTACATGAACTTCTTTTACTACTATTTTGTATCTTTTATTATTAATGAGTGCTGTACTACCAATGCTTGACATTAATTTAGTTATTAAAACAATAAAGCTTTTCACTCAACATTTTTAATATCATAGTAAAATATTGTAATTTTTCTGATTAGCATTCCAAATCCAGTTAATTTGAAGATTGAGGGATATGCAACCAGGGTGAAAGGTCGGCTGGACCACCTTATGGAGGAAAGCACAAAGTGGGATAATCTACTCACTTCATCCACTGAGATGGCAACACAAGCTGAAAGGTAATGACATATTTACCAACCGTCTCGCATCGTGCGGGACGGTCCCTCATTTCAAAGTGATTTTGGATGAAACATGCATTATACACGAACACATGCGTGATTATAAATTTGTCACGCATTTAGCACATGTATGATAACGGATTATCATGAATTCAGGGGAAAATGTATTTTAAATTACAAGAAATTGGTTTTATTAAAAATATAAAAACGGTCATGCAGTGACTGAAACTTCAGTTGTCAGTTAGCATCAAACATGCACGCAGTCAGGTAAGTACAGTAACGTAAATACTTAATTCACTGACGCGTTACTAAAATTTGATTCAGTATGCATATTCATTTTTTTTTTTTGAGTATGGAATGTTTATTTTGAGTATGAAATGTTATGTGCTTCATAACCGCAAGGGAAAGGCGCAATATAAATACTCAATACCAGTACCAGTGTACAAAGTTTGGGTGCTCAAATTGAAAATACATTGAAACTCAAATTGTACGCAACTTTAATAAAAATAGTTTTGTTTTTGTACCCGGTATTGTCAACAAACACTCCTTGATATAATAATATTTATTTAAAAAGTTTTGAAATGCTCAGATCGTCTGAGCACCCCCTCCCCAATTTGGGCTTGGCCCCTCCCCCAGGCAACTGGTGCAGTCATCCACGCATTTCAAATCTCTCCAGGTTGGTAACTATGTAATGAAAATCATCCACTCATATGTACTAGGTGCTAAGAGATGATAAGACTAATGCCATAATGCCTGTCTACTTTGGACGTTGGTATTTCCAACACCTTTGCCAATTATATTCATGGTGTGCTTTATTTTTATGTAGAAAATCATTACAGGTGCTTTATTGCATAAGCTTACTCTTTCTTGGCTTGTTAACTACTATGTAAAAAGCTAATCCTGTCTATACATTCCCAGTAGGAATACATCATCAAAAATATATTTTCTTAATTAATCATTCAACAAGTATTGAATCTATGTGTGTGAAACAGGATCCAATAAGAATATATTGTGAGAAAATATTTTACCACAGGTATGAAAAATATAAGAAAGATTAAAAACATAACCGGATGCATATTTATTAGAATATTTTAATAGAACATGTATTCTTTGGAGTTGTCCTGTGATATGTAACTAAATATCAATTATACATGTATTAAATAATGCTGAAAGGATATTAAATATTTATTTGGTTTTTTTTTTCTGGCTTTTTTATTTTTCAGTAGCAGATACCTATAGCTCTACATGAGATAGTTGATGTAACTAAATACCATACCTGATGCCTCCTTTCATTAGACAACATTTTATGTTACTTACCAACAAATTAAAGTTAATTATTTCATTATGATCCTATTTGTCTTAATGACACTTGTGCTGATAATCTCTTTGCCTCTTTGCAGTGAGGTTGAAGTTGCAGATGACACACAGCCAGTCTTCTTACTGTATCTCTTTTGGTATAAAGCCGATCGTATCCAACTTACATTCAATTTTCACACAAAATAAAATATGAGACTTTCCAAGATATTACCAAAATAGCGTTGTCTTCACACGTTTATTGAAGAAGTTCACAAGATGAATATAAAGTATTTCATATGTGTATCATTATTTTTTGTCTTTTTATAGTTTAGTTAAAATGGAAAATCCAGAGGGACCAGGTAAGCTTCCAGATTCACTGAGCAGGCAGGATGTTAGATACCTCACAGGCCTACCAAACTTGAACCAAATCCTGTCATCCAGCATGACCTCCCTTCAGAAGCTTGAAATGCATGTAAGTTACCAATTAAAATACTTCTGTTAATGTAAAAATGATGAATCAGTGTTAGGTTATTTTACTTGCATTACAAAGCAGCATCAGCCAAAGAGGTTCAAAACTTATGTTTTATAAAGCAAGATCAAATAATTCAAGTTGAATTGCCGAGCGGTTAGTGCAGGGGTGCCACGACCTACAGCCATAATATCGGCACTGGTTCAAGCAGAACGCTCTGCTATGGTGCTGATGGAGGAACAAGTCTTCTCAGATAAGAACTATGAACTGTAGGCCCAGTGTACACAATTAGCTCATGTGCACTTTAAAGAACCAATACATCATGCGAGGCAAGTCGGGGTTTTTACCCCCGAGTACTGGTCGATACAGCCCCTGTTCTATTCTCATGCTAGGGTCAAATTTTCTTTCGCCAAAATGGCGAAAGTTTTAATTTTTTTTTCGCCAAATTGAAAAAGTTTTAGCCAAATTTAAAAACCAATAAAATTTCACAAAAAAACAGTTCCATAAATTAATTTCTTTCTTATTTTATATTATTCATTTGTAACTAGTCTTAAAGGTGGTAATAACAATATTAACTATCGAAAGAAACGAAAAAAAAAAAAACTGCACGATGGTTTAGGATATGTGGGACCGGTGGCTACTAGACCAGCTCTAGGCCTAGTGCTACGCATAGGCCCTAATTGGAACCCTAATTAATTACATGGGAGTATACTATAGAGAGTGCCTCATTTTTTGATGCATTACAAGCGACTGCTATTTCAAGTACTGTACCTTACAGTATAGTATAGGCCCTACCTGTTACTCTACAGCATAGCAAATGTAATTATCAATAAAATTGATGCTTTTATTGTTTTGACATGCATTTTCGATCCTGTGTACTTTTTCCTGAACACAACATGTGTTTGGACCGAATAATACGTTTTGAATTAGGAGATTTGGATTTTCGGAATACATGTATTATTTTAAGTAGTATAATAACTATGTGTTAAATAACGAAATCGCCGAAGATGTTTTGTTTTAGTGTTCTCTTTAGCGTGGGAACGATAGTTCCAGTGTGTCATGTGCAGGCACTGATTAGACTGTTTGCTTCAAAACTGCCCATGCATGTCCGCATGCCCAGAACGATTTATCTATCTGATTTTCCACATGAACTTGAGAGTGTCTGTAAGTCTGTACAGCACACGCGGTGAAAATAGGGTTGCTTAGCGAGGCGATATATCCGCTGCTCGAGATGGTAACTACTTAAGAAGAGCCTAGCCTAGATGAATATTTTTTACAGTATATAAAAATCATGCCATTTTTTTCTTCGCCAAACAGTATCTCATTTCGCTGTTGCCGAATTGGAGAGTGGCTAGTGTGAGCGTAGCCTGTTGCCCAGAGGTCCTTTGCATTACGAACCTTCGTAAAACTCAGCATAAACATCAGTGCAGAGCCCTCGCTAAACTGGGAGTGTATACAGCCAAAATCATCAGACATATCACATAGTGACTGTCCCCAGTGAATCTCCCTAGTTTGATCAACTAGCTAAACAATGATCTCCTTTTATAATTTTTGTCTAGCGTGAATCATCAATGTACGATGGGTTGTTAATCAGGCTTTCAATCTCTTTGGGGTACATAATCCCTAGTTACAAGTACCTGTTTGTTACAATACTATAATCTTGCCGCCCTAGCCTGCTAATTTTTACATCGGCTTCTCATGGTATTCCTACTGAGAAATTGTTTTCTTCATATGATGAATTAAAAGTTTGCAAAAGAATCGGTACAATTGATTCATGGACAGTAAAGATACATGTGATGTTACAGTGAAAGATATTCTACGTCCTGTTACCATGCGCATATCCATGCTATATATCTCCGGAGTGTTACAGGCTTTTCTAATGACTGTTTTTCATGGATATTACAAGGTGAGGTAAAGGTAGAAAACTGAACTCTAGGCTCAGACAGTGCAAGGCTATTGGGGTTTAGCACTACTCCAACACAGCAGTCTATTTCACCTTCCCAGCATATGTTGGTGCCAGTTTATAGGTAGAGAGAGACATAGATAAAGTGTCTTGCCTATGGACACAATCGACTTGCACAGTGAGGGTTTTTGAACCCTGACCTCATGGTTAAAAGTCCAAGCCAAAATCGTTGCGCCAACTGCTTCTATATTACACACAGGTCCGTGCTTATTTTACAAGGATTTACATTCTCACAGACCCAATGTAGAAGGGAATGCATGCCAGATGCTCTAATTTATTTGTTCTGTTTGTGCAGTGTAAGTCTGCATTTCTGACCCTGTCATACCATTTAATATTTATCATTCTTCTAGGATTACTTATATAATCTTAATTTATAAGGTGATCTAAACAAATTGTTAATTTGTAGTTGTTTTGATTTTTATGTTAGTGTATGTACTATATAAATCGTGATTAGATTTACATTTCACCTGAGTCCGAGTGAAACTCCTATTAATTCACCTCTGATACCTGTCAGATTGACATGCTATAAAACTTTTGATTTGATTTTGAGATGTTTAGCATCGTCTCCCAAACACATTCAACGATCTGACAACCCTCCCAAACTGCAAGTTTCAACTGGTTTATCGATGTAAAAATCCTCTATACATCATTTCATCCTCACATTTGTAGCTAGCTTAAAAGATGATTAAGGGTTACTCTCACTCAGCAGGGCTAAGACTTTGCTTCACATATTATGTGCTATTAATAGCTATCCACAGATCTTCTATGTAGATGTTTCACAACACAACCGTCACCTCTGCCGGGTGAATTTCCTACCGGCTACAAATTATCAACATTGTAGTATTACCTTCTCGCCTAGCTACATCCTACTTTATGGTGCTATTAAAATCTATAATCTCCGGGATCGAATGTATACGTTTGATTTACCATGAGATGACAATGCCCCTGATTTCCAGGAGAGGGGAAAAGCCTGGTCAATCTGCCATGAGGTTCCTATACAGTGATTTGTGGTTTAAAATTTATGTGTTATTAAATGATGTTGTTCTATTAAGGGTAAAGCAAAGCATGCCATGTGAAGATCAGGGAGTGAAATATAGGTAGATTGAAAGAGACAAAGTGTAGGTTAATGACATACCTGCCCTCTTTACTGCCATCCTATCATGTATGGGATCCAACTGTATCATATTTAAGGGCCTTGAGCATTAGTTTATTGTATTGTATTATATTACTGTATATTACTGTATGTTATAATTATTATTAACATTATTGTTAATTTCATCATTAATTTTGTAAGCAGGTTAAATTTTCATTTTATTTTTGTGTGTGTGTGTTTGTTAGCATCCTTCTGCCTACAGTTTTAGGTCTACCTGTGTCAGATTTTCACAGATGATTTCTGACTAAATGGAAGAGTCCTTTTTATTTTGGTGATGATCTGAAGTGGGGTGTGGAACCATTTAAAGAAATACACCCTAAACTAGATATCTCAAAAACTGATCTTAGGAGTGATGTTTTGCCCTACCTGACCTGTTATCGTACCGGATACTCAGTACGTCCCCAAATACTAGCAAAAAAAAAAAATTACAAGTGATTCAGGTGGGAATTGAACCCACGACCTCCAGGTATCTAGCCTGATGTCTTAACCACTAGACCACCGAGCTTGTGCTTGGTGACTGGTGATGAATCCAATCTCCTGGTAGCAGTGGGTACTGCAGATGCTATAAAGATATGAATTTGCGTCAGGAAAATATCATAGGAGTGATGTTTTGCCCTACCTGACGTGTTATCGTACCGAATACTCAGTACGTCCCCAAATACTTGCGAAAACAAAAAGTGATATAAAGGAAACTTACTGTTAAATTTTGGTAACGATCCAGATTCGGGTATTAAAAAAAATGTTTATTGCTACCATGTAAACACAATTTTTGTTCATCCATTGTGATATATTGTATTTCTGTTTATTAGCTTTTGATTTTGAGTTTAGTTTTTTTAAGTTCAGTTAGTATCTTTTTATCATGTAGATGGGTGACAGGCATTTTGTAAGGTGCTTCACAATCTGGACATCTCATAACCAAAGCATTTCAGGTCTCATAATGTCCAGGTTGCTAGGTATTAGTGGTGGAGTTGCTGGGGTCTGGATTACAGAATGTTGACATTTCCATATCGAATAATTGTTGTCTTAATGTAATTTTTTGGTTTTCTTTAAGTTGTACAGTTAACTAAATGGTAGCCTCATGCTACAGCTTTTTTTTTTTCTTGCTGTCAAATTTGTTAATTTTAATTTGTTAAATTTTTTTTCTTCTTCATGGACTTTTAGAAGAACAACTTTGTTGAAACAAGTTTTCCCGTGTTAAAATAAAGCTAATTATCATTATTATTATTATTATTAAAGTATGTACATCCCAACCTGAATAATTGAAAAACTGATCACTGGATCTGAATGAAACTTTTTAGAATGTTTTTTCATGGTGTGGTATGTTGGAAAAGATGCATGGAAATAATTTTCTGCATGGGAGAATTATTATGTTGGCTGAAGTATACGCTCTTGTCATTATTATTATTATTTTCATTTTATTACTATTATTTGTATTAACATTTATACAATAATTAAAGGACAACAAACATATTGCTTCTTCATGGTTTATGAAGGTGGGAATAGAGGAGAAAAAATATACTAATCAATCAAGAAAAGCATTGATGATTGGAGGGAGTAATGGATAAGAGACAAAATTCATCAATCAGAAGGATAAAAAAGAAGTAAAAAAAGGAAGTAGTCATGGGTTTTAATTTTATGAAGAATCAAAAGAATTAAAATATATAAAATTAAAATTGTATGATTTTTTTTTAATGAAATGTATTACTTTCTTTGTTTGCTCATAAAAATTTAATTGAGTTTCACTCTGTTAAAAAGAAATACCTTGCTTTACACATACTTCTCCAGTAACTAATGATATGTCTGCTTAAAATATTTTAAAGTTACTGTTAAATACCTTAATAAACTGACTATTGCTGTGGGTAATACCCCACAGAGAAACTGTCTCAGATGCCAGTACTGTGCCAACACTCATAATCAAATCTTCAGTCTTTGTCATCATTGAAGTAATAACATGTCTGAATACTACATAGGCCACTGCAGTGGTTATTCAAAAATGTTTTGAAAAAGCAGAATAATGACTGTAATTCCACAGTGCAACATAAAAGCAAAAAACAGAACTAAAATACACCAAGTTTACAAGAAACAAAAAAACAGTATGAGATTTCTACAAGAAGATAGTATTAATACAGTACAAGCTGCAAAGACATTTTGTCTTAGGGTACAGTATTTTGATAAAGAATTCTACAGCTGATACAACTAAAACCTAATCTAGATTTATGTACTGGTATATTTTTATACAATAATATACAATATATTATGAAACTTAACATTCCATATATGAAACTTAACATTTATAGAATTGAGAGGATTCAAAAAAATTTCACCTAGTACTTAGCCAATCAACATTGTTCTGACTATGATGATATTTATTATTTAAATTATTCACAACGTTCAGATAAACTTCGATTATGCTTTCTTGAAAAAAGGAGAAAGCTACTTAGTCTATGTCTTTTTTTCTCTTTACTTCACAAACTTACAGGCAGTGACTTTCTTTTTGAAATTAATGAAAGGAGGGAGTTCCCGACACTCTCCATTCATTTTTGCGCGGTGTAACACGCTTAAATTTTCTTTTCTTGGCCGTATGCCAGCTTTGTGCAATTCCCCTCCCCATTGAAACTTGTTTTCTTCTTTTAAGAATGCGCTTTTGATTCGCCTTGATTTGTAAATATTTATAATAATAATATTTTTCATTTTATTTGAATTAAGTTTTAATTAATTGCTTGACTACATTGATATTTTTGAAAAAAATTTTGAAACAGTGAAGCAAATCCAGGATAATCACATGTTATAACTCAAGTTTGTTTTTGTAACCTCAATTAGATTTACGTTGTTGTTATCTATTGAAATCCAAAAATATTAATTTAAAGTTGGTTTAAATCCACAAAAATTTAGGGCTCATTTAATGTTAAAGCCTTAAGTAACATCTGCCCATATGTGATGGACAGTGGCCTGGGTATGAACTCCCCTCTGAAACGATAGAAGATTTGCGGGCAGATCCTTCTAGTTGCGATAGATAGCCTAGCTTAAGGTTAAGATATAGATGTCATCCGCGGGAGGATTTAGGCCAAAATCTGTCAAAACTAACCTGACACATGACTGAACTTGTGCAGAGAAATTGGATTTGTCCATTAGGATCACGTCACATTAATCAAACCTAAAATCTCTTAGAACTACAATCACTAAACAACATGACATATCTCAAAGCTGAATTAATTCAAATTTTAGATTTTAACTGATACAACATTTCAATCTCGAAAATTAGATTTTTGCAATTTTATGAGGGGTTCTTCAGTCAATATACATTTTGTTTTATGACTGTTACAAAAAGGTTTTTTATCGATACCCAATTAGAGGAACTCTTGAATTTGTTAGATTTTTTTTATATATAGCATTGAAAATTTTGTCTGAACTTTTTAACTCTCTTTTAAAGTTTACCTTTAGTTTTTTTTGAAATTTTATTACAATTGTTTTTTTTTTTTATATTTAGATTAATTTTATTGTTAAATCTATGTTTGCTCAGTTAAACTTCTTAACATGCGGCTTTGGTGATATTACCAAGGGGAATGTTACGCAGTCTGTTTGTACTGGATTTTCAAAGATAAATTCAGTCGAAAAAGGACTTCAGTCTCATTTTGAGACAGTGCCATATGACGCAGCCCAATACTCTTCAATGTCACTAAAAGTCATCTACGCATGCGAGAACGTTGAATTCTTGTTGCATGGATTCTAGGACGCAATTTGGCCAAATCAAGTATGCAGGTAACGTACAGTAGGACACCCAGTAGGGCGGTCACGCATGAGTGATTCCGTTTTGCGTTGCATCGTCCAATAAATCAAAAGCTCCCTAATATTAAACATGTTTAATATTCTCACGTCGACCTGTAGATTGTGGAGTTTCACTCATGAAAATTAAACTATGATGCTTACAGGACTGGAACCCATGACATTGAGATTCAAAGCAATACTGTACTGTATTACAGTATACTTGTAATATTTTTAGGTATAATATATATATATTTTTTTTTTTTTTTTTTTTTTTTGGATGTGGATTCACAAAAAAAATAATCCTTAAATGTATGATTCATATGTTTTTATGTTGTATTTTTTTGTTGGCGTCGGTCACATCCGTTAAAACTGTTCATGAAATGTTTAATGTTTGTGAATGATGTCTGTGAAGGAAGTACTGTCTTTTACATTTGTAGCTTCTAGCTCCTGCAATGTTCCAAATTAATCCTTTGGGTGGAGTCATATTAATGATGTAGATTAATACATAATCCACGTTAATGTCTTGCTACTTTGCTCTTAAAAGCAACTGCTAGCATAACTAAATTCCATTTCAACCGACGTAAAATAACAAATTGTTTGAACAAACCATGAAATGCCCACATAATCCCAGCTCTACTTTACATTCTATTCTACGATTCTGTTGACGAGATTTATGTTATTATACAATATTAATGCCAACTGTCTATTCTGCTTTTAAACTAAATGTAACATTCTTTAATTTTTACTTATTAACTGTCATTTACTCTCCGAATCGTGCACCGCATGTCATACAGAGTACCTTGAAGCAAGGGTAACGTCCTCGTAGATGGCCGGATTTTGCCTCGACTTGTAATAGATAGAAAATTACTTATTTCTTAAAGACAACAATGTACATATGTATACCCAGTCTGAGAAGATTAAGGAGATAGAATTGTTTAAGCTGTGCTGTACCTAAATGTGACGGCAATGGCCTACGTTTGAACCCGCGTTACCATGGACTATCGAATTTGTAATAGATCCCAAGATTAATTACTTGTGAAGCTTGGTAACATAGATCGGTAGGTTTCACATTTGTGCTTTGTTACTGGAGTGAAAAACGTCCCAACTCTTACACTTTAAACAGTTGAGATTTACACTAAACTACACAACCTCCAGTCAAGAGCATCATATATAGTATATGCTCAGTAGTAAAATGCTGGATATTTTTTTGGCTATTCATCATAAATACAAATAGATAATTAAGTGTACTGTAACTTATTCAATTAACTGGTATTTAGTCGTAAGCTGTAGAAATAGGCAGTAGGGCAATAGATTTGTGTTGGAAGTTGAAGAACAGTTAACCCATTCCACAAATATATCTACATGTAGTTGGAATACAAAATTTATGAACATAATATGTACCAACATAACATGCGAACATCGGAAAACATTTTTTTTATGAAAACTGTGGTGAATGTTTGAATTTGATTTCAGTTTGTGAACCCAAAGAGAATTACATTATTTTTCATGTCATCCAGGAAATCACACCAAAGATGCATGTACTTAAAGTGATGTAATTAAATTAATGGTGAAATGACTTCTTAAGCCAGGACCTAGATAAACTTGATCGTATCTTGCATGTAACATAATGGTATCACGTCCCTACCTCACCGGTCTGTAATCCTGGCCGGCTTAAGCATTAAATTACTGTACAAAATTTGCAGATTCACAGGAAGTAATACAGTATGGAGATCTGTTTGAGAGGAGAGAACTGAATTCTTGGTGTGAGGGAGTCAAAGATGTACTTCTTGCATTTCCAACAATGAGGCACTCTCATCTGTTAACACCCTGGGCAGCCCTTAGTGTGATTCGGTTTTAGTGGAAATTGAAACAGACCTCGTTCAAAAGAGTTTCTTGTTAAGTTGATTTATGCTACACAAATCAAATTCCCCCTCATGATGTTTAATATGAATAGATTCTTTTGATCACAAAAAGTTGAATGAAGTTAAAAGTGAATAAGATTGTAATGTTTTTGAAATTTCATATATTATACTAAAATCATACTACTAGTATTTTTATTTTTGTTTTTTGTATGTGCATATTTAAACAAATTAATGTTTTTGATTCCATTCAGTAGTATTATCATGACTGGCAGGCACATATATCGGCCAGTGTCAGTCTAATAGACTATGCATCATCATCTCCATCTTCCTCTTGAACAAGAGCATTATCATCATAAATATCATCACTGCCACCATTATCAACATCTTCACTGCCATCATCATTATCATCACCATCATCGTCATCATCATCATCACCACCATCGTCCTCACCATCATCTTTATCATCACCATCATCATCACCATTACCATAAATACCACCAACACCATCATTGACGTCAACATTCTCACCTTCGTCAACAGGAACATTAACATCATCATTTCCATCTCTTTTCCTTCTCTTCTTCATCTCTACCATCATTCTCAACATTGATACCCTACTTTAAAATGATAGCCTCCCTAAGCTGGTACAAGTTTCAACCATTCTTATGTTTTTCTAATTATTGTCTAGCTTCTTATTATTGATATGAATGTAATAATATGCTTTACAGTGATTGATTTCACAGCCTATGATACATAAAACATTTTAATTCCATAATGTTATTTTAAAATCTTTCTTTGAAATCTGTACTTGTAAAATTGATAATTATTTCTTCTATCTATCTATGTTTGTCTCCCTCTACAGGTGGATACTATTCTACAATCTTGCAAAGGCTTGAAGGAACTTGAAGCTAGTACAGATTCCTATCTTACGCATCAAATAAAACTTATAGGTAAGCCTTCTACTGTACTCTACCTCTGGGCTTCCCATGTAGAGGGGGAGAGTAAGGATGTATGGCTTTATTAACCTATTGAAAAAATATATAACCTACCATCAATAAACTTCTAGCTTAGGGATGTGCTAAATGAAGCTGTAGTTTTTGGTGGAAAAAATGCTTCCATTCCAGGTGTATGGATTCAAATCCTCTTATAAACAGTTGTTTATTGTGTGTGATTTAGAGCAACTCCACTCCCCAAGGTTCATATGAGGCTTAGCTTGCAGAGCATTACTTCTATCCTCCACTTACAGTGATTCACTGTTGGATGAGAAACTAAGAAATGAAAGATTACTTCTACAGAGTCTCATAAAAGACATCTATAAAAGTGAGCTTGTGACCCCCAAATATCACCCCCCCACCCTATAAACACTAGCTCATCAGTAATGTAGACCTGAAGAACACACTTGCTGAGTATATTTTACTGGTATTGATTTTGTTATTTTGTTATTGCTTTTATTTTTTTTTATATTTGATTATAAGGGATTGCAAGTAACTATAAGACATTTTCTCGCTGTTTGTCGGAATTAGGCTTGTAACCTACCGTTGCACTTCATTTCCATCACCTTTTGTTGATCGCAACTTTGTTATTTTGAATTTGCAAGATTTTTTTTCGCAAGCATTTGGAAATATTCAGAGCATTCAGTACGATAACATGTCATTTAGGACAAACGTCCTTCGTATTATTATTCTTATTACTATTTATTAATATTATTGAATATACATTTGATTTCACAACACCAGTGGACAACTATTATATCAGCAAGCTTGATATTCCCCGAGGAAATGCTTGTAAACAAAACGATAGACGAAATTATGGGATATAACGGCAATAAGCTACAGTAATCAATCAGACATAATTGTTTAAATAAATGGATTGCGAAGTTATAATGAGTGAATCACAGGTTTTTCTTTGGTTGCTTGGATCAATTTGTGCCTGACAATTATAATATATATCTCGTGGGTTGAAAAGGTTCCAGAAATGTCTCGTAACCGAGGTCTGGGTAAAAAATTCTGGCTGCTTTTTAATGGACTAATCTGTATGCGTACTGTGTCTCGTACATCTTGTCAACTAAATGGTAAACAAGTTAGTACTTTAAGTGCATTTCAGATGTTGTTTACTAATATAATTCAAGTTGGGAGTACATTTTTTGAACATTATAATCCCGATAATATATCCAAAATGAATATTCCAAGCTTGTTGTAAAGATTATGTTCTCCATTTTCTGTGCATTTCAAAAACTGTCACATTATATTCTTTTGAGATATTTTCTATTTTGAGTCTTCCCTGTTTTAGTATTTATGGGTACGAGCTTTAATTTGTTGTTTTGTATAAGTAGAATGATTCAAGGTTTTAAAATCAAGGTGGTACAGGAGGAAGTGTAGCAGTTTTTTGCGCCCTCCCTTCCCTCCCCCTCCCCCATAATTAGGTTTGGGGAATGGGTAAGTTTTTGATGATTTGCATTCAAGGGTCTTTCTTTCCAACAAGAGTCCCCAACAAGGGAAAATATTTTTGGAGATGTGGAGATGTTATTCTTTGTAATGAACAATACCAGCGTACAATCGTGTCCAAGCTTGAAACTAGATTATTACTTACAGCGATACGCTGCATGCTTTCGCCTACCTGCAGATAGCTCTGTTGCTGTGGTCGGCACTACTAATCTACATTTACCGTAGCACTGCTTCGGCAAGCATTTGCCTAAAAGATGAATGGTTGTACAAGGAGAACTGCAGTCTCCTCCACAGAAAATGGATTGGAAAAATGCCATCAAGTTGGCTTATTGATTCTCTCTGGGTCTCTGTGTCAGCTTACTATAAACAGAGCTGATATTAAATATATTTCTCTCCACTGCTAACCAATATAACTCAATGTAAGTGTTTTTTTCTCTACTTTAATTTATTCCAGTTCCTTAATTTTGTCTTATTTTTCTCTCTACTTAATAAACAGCTAAGAAATCAGAGACAGCCACAGATTTTAGTCCAAAATCTCTTATTTGTGGAAAGTCAACTTGAAGATGATTAAAGACAAGAGATGATCATAAGCAAGAAATTCATGTTATGGATCAGTTGGGTATAAAGGTTTGTTACTGTTAAATACAGTAGATTGTGAATGGGGAAGGGGAGTTCCTAATCCTACTATCCTATAATCTAGCTATTCTTATCCATCCATGACGGGAGAAGAATAATGTACCCCATTAGTGTTTAGCATGATAATAATGATGCTATAATTTCTTTGAAGATACACTGTCTACTAACAAATTCAGAAAATCATCAAAAATGCAACAAAAATCCTCAATACCTTATTTAAGCACTCAAATATATTATTAATTTTCAACCAGAAATAAAAGTTTCCACTAATTTTACACACATTTTACTACAGTAATCCTTAAATTGATTACCAGTCAATGTAAGGTTCAATGCAAACGAATACCTCAAAGGTATTGTTTAACTGTCTGTTAGATTTCCATAAAAAAGTTGTCATTAAGATTTTTAATTATATGTTAATAACTTAAAAATATACAAATTATGCAAATAAAATATGGAGTTGATTTTTTCAGTTTGTTTAGCTCATGACAGAGAGTACGTTTAGTAACAGGTTTTGTTTCTTGAATAATCATGTAAACTAAGAGTGAGTTCTGTGTGTAGTTGACATGCTAGCAAAGAAGTAAGACATCAAGTAATGAACGTTCCTGCTAAGCCCTGCCCCTGGGATATTGTTAGTACGGTCCACACATGCGTTTGTGGGAAAACGTGTATTTAAATTGTGATACACGTGTGTATTCCTTGTCAGCTGTTAAGTTTGACGACACTTCGGAAAGGACCATTCAGTGTGAATTGGCATTACCATTTAGTTTGTATCTCAAAATCAATGTCAATGTCTACTAAATGATGTGAAATCACTGAGAATCTGCCCTTATTTGTGACATTTTTTTAAGCTTTCTTCGTTAATTTTGGACCGATTGTTTTTTTCCATATATGTAACTTATTCCTTATTTATTCAGCTATTCATTTTTAGTTTTAATATCAGTGACACATCGTCGGAATATTTTTAAAGCAAGATCACTTGTTAGCATCGACCGCTTTATTCAAATCCTGTGATCATATTTACTAAAATTATTCTCATATCAGAAAACATGGGTCGATTTTTACGGCCGTTTATTTGCGTATATATAGAATAATCAAGCTGTCATTTAAGCAAAAAAATCAACGTATTTCGATAAATAGTCCCGTTGGAATGTGCGCTTCTTTGGAGATGCTGACTTAATCTAACAGACATCAACTATAATCGTAAAGAATAGCCAGCACTTTGAGGCTCTTAGAGAATTCATACACAGGCAAAGTTGAAAGAAAACTGCATTTTCTCACCTAGTATTTATATATATATTTTTAAAAAACATCATTTTTGCATGAAACAAAATAATAGTTATTTCTAAGTTGTAATGTTAAACATGTTAAATTTTTTATTTAAGCAATTTAAAAAACATTGTGTACAGTAGTTTTACAAAATCAGCTGTGTGGTTTGACCGATTCACTGGACCTGAACATTATATCTACTTTATATCTGATTATATTAACATTGAAAATTGCATGAAGTTTGTTTTAAATTCACATTGATGTGTGTTTGCAGTGATACAATAAATTTGAAAGAAACATTTTATTTGTTTAATTATACTTATCTATTTTTAATTATTTGTAGAGAAGAATAAATGTGTGGTTGTCAACCTTATATGATAAATTTAGTTGATAATCACAAACAACCTTAATAACATGGAGGTACACATCCATAATAACATAGACATACATCCTAATTTTTGTCATTTTGTGGTTCTGTTTCGTTCCAATTTTCTTCATATTTACTCTGTAATGGTTTTTGTATTGTGCATTGAATTAATCAAGGACTAATTAGTCCTAATTGGATAAGCTGTATATAGGCCGCCTTTTAATTTTACTATATAAGGAAAATTTATCTAAGTACTATACCTGATTGTCCTACTGTCTGAGCTGTATGTAGGCCTTCTTTTAATTAGATTACAGGGAGCAGAATTGTTTAAAGTACTATACAGTACCTCATTGGTCTGCTGTGCTTAATTAGAGGGAAGAACATACTTCAAATCACCTCTGCTGTAGACTGTAAGTCATTTTTTTAAAGGGAAGAAAAGGATTCAGAGATCTTCTCCTATAGGCCTATTCTGTAGTTTATTTTATTGCTGGGAAGGACTACACTGCTTTTAATTTTATGTAATATTAAGACTAATTTGTTGTGTGTGTGTTCTAACATCTTGTAACATTTGACATACAATGTCAATTAAAAAATATATTTTGGAAAGTGAATACAATGATCAAATTACACTATCCTTACTGAAAAAAAAATGTAGTATTTCATGCACTATACACCTTCCCATTTGGAGTACCATGGTAAGGCCTTCAAAACATAGATTTGCCTAAAATTATGATGATACAGCAGAAGCCTAACCCATAGCCACCATTTGCTTAATCCTTACAAGATTGGGGGAGGGGAACCCCCTAGATACGCCAATAATTGACATTCAAATAATTTTCTTTCATTACACAAGAAAATTCAGATTGACTTTTTTATTGCTTAACCCTGTATTTGGTTTTTTTTAAATATTTATTATAATAGTGAAAATAAATTACAGTCTATAATTGACTGGTGTTTCTTCAATCACGATCTAAAATGAACTTACGACTCAAATTTCGTATCGAGTACAAATATACACAGAGATTCATTCAGTTTATTCAGTATTAGTGATATGTTCTCTTCCCATGTTACAAAAAAGCATTAAAAAAAATAATAAAATCAAAACTAAATATGATGAATCATTAGTTATTAGACATATTTTATAATGATATAGAGATATGATATATGATATGTTTCTTTACTATTAGGTCACTGTACGCTAGACCAAGCAAGTCAACGAGTTTAGTATGACTTGGTGCATTTAATTCCATAATATTCCACTATCACAACCTTTAATGATCGGTAAATTCCTTTTGTTTATACATTTTTTCCATGTTCTTTTCCTTACTATTAAAACTTGTGTTTGTTTTCCACATTTTATCGTAACGAGATTAGTACAACTTAGTAAATTTATTTCTGTAATACTGTATTCACAATCGCAACCATTGATGACCTGTAAAAACTTCTTGTTTATGTTCATTTTTCCTAACAAAACAATTTTGGTTCCTTTTTTCTATCAAATTAATATAATTGGGATTGTATACCCTTCTGTGCTACTTACATAAGAATATCACCAAAGAAATGATTATCTCCAGCCTAGGTTTTAGTAAGAGAGACTATTAGGACAATATTATGCTATATTTTATTTTGTTCATTATTTTTCTGTATTAGATATCTGTAGGGCATACTTGTTTTACACATGCCTTATGAATATCAAGGTTTTGCTTATAACAATTTAGGATGTATCTTATGTACCTATATTCCATAAGGCAAGGAAATTGAATAAAATCTGATATAGGAGCAAGAAAAAAAAGTCCTAATTTTACCAAACTAGTGTATTATAACTTGCCTTACCTGAACATGTGTGTAGATGGATATGTTGTATCTTACGTACTATATTCCATAAGGCAAGGAAATGCAATAGATTATGATACAATATATTATAATTATAGGTGCAAAAAATCCCCTCACAAAAAAATCCCCCCAAAAACCCCCATAAAATAGTGTATTATTACATGTCTTTATAGAGACACTATACGTGATAAGCAATGGTCGTGCAAAGAGAAGTTTATATATCTAACAATTTTATCAGAGACAGCCTTTAACCAACTAAATTATTCTAATCATCTGTGCTTAATTTTGCTATGATCTTCCGCTTAGTCAGACTGTACCGCCAGACCTAAATGCACTTTCTCCACAACTTCATTTCTGTTGATATACAAACATATTTTTTTCATTGTATTCGTAGCAATACATCTATCAAACTCAATTTTCCTCAGATGAAAATGACGCCTGCTTGTTGAGTAATCATATTGGCAGTGTCCTATGCTTCAAGACGTTCTAACGTACGCACCGATGCCCTGTTCCTTTCACTTGCGTGGACTGCTTTCATTGTGATTGAGATACTAGCGTGAATGAAATTGGATCGAGCAGATACAGTTAAAGGTGGTCTCACTTCATCTGTCTCGCATCTCTAAAAAGAATGTAGTACACACAAAATAACACATACATTAATAAACACTTGATGTTTCTAAGTAATCATTGGCAAGCAAATTATCATTCACAGTAAACCAAAATTCTAGTGAGTTTGATGTTAAGCATAGGCTTAAATACAGTATTATTTTTTTATTTAGATAAAATATTTAAGCCAAGATTATTGCTTGAAAAAAATCATGTTTAAGGCCTGCTTTATAAAAAAAGAAAAAAACCAGAATCAAAAGCAAGATTAATAATATACAAGTAATAATATTATATAGTGCCTTATCTAGGGATACTAGTGTACAAAATTTGGAGGTATACACATGTTGTGTATATATTAATATTAATATTATTATGTGTGACGTTCTTTAGCTTTTTATGATGGGACTTATTGACTTATTGTTAGGCTTCTTTAATTTGGTGTAATTTTGATCAGTGTTTTTGGTTTCATACTACCGTATGTGCTTTAATTAAATTATTATGTTATTGTCGTTAAATTTTATTGTTATTAATATTATTTATTATCAGTATAAATATATAAATAATATACAAAGCATGTAAAGGAGAAAGGGTTCTAATGATCTGGATAAAGTCTAAGAACCCTAAGGAATGCTTTTAGAACTACTCGGTTTTTGTACTCAAGAGAGAGAAATACAAATTTAGTATAAATATATAAAATATACAAAGATAATGGGTCCTAAGAATCTGGTTGGAAAAAAAACCAAAAAAAAACAAAAAAACATAATGAATGCTTTTAAAACTAATTAGAGCAATAGCCAGATTTAGTATAAATATATAAATAATATACAAAAGAGAAATGATCCTAAGAATCTGGTTGAATGAAGTAAAAAAAAAACATAAGGACGGCTTTTAGAACTACTCGGAGAGAAAAATAGAGAGATTTTATTGGTGACTCTTGATAGGCTGACTTGTACGGGTGAGTGTTTGGATACTCATGGGGCCTACGTCGAGACAACTGCTTAATGTCTATGTCATTTACACCTCTGGATTACAAGAAAGACCATAAAAATGCTTAATAAATAAATTAATATAACAAGTGCTGGACTGGTATTCATCACCAGGGCAATGATGCATTTTATTTCTCCCTACCCTGCCGTAAATTCTCTAGGCCCAAAGCTTGCTGTCATATAACCGTTTTATTACTATTGTTATCACTTGAAATAATGTTTTGAATCCCTAGGTATAAATCCCAATTGTTTTGCATCATAAATCAGGGATGAGTTTGTTTTTTATTAAATGAAAAATACAAAAGTTTTGTCTTTTAAATATAAATGGGAATGGGGTTGGTACATTGTTCGGGGATGTGTTTCTAAATACATCGGCCTAATAAAAATATTATGATGATAGTGAAGCACTTGTAATTCGCCTTTTATCTAGAAAAACTTATTCTGAGCTACAATATAGCATTTAATTATTGTTAGTGTCCTTATCAAGTGTGCAATTTGATGATAACATTAATAATTATTATCATTATCAATTATTTAATAATAATAAAGTACTTAATAGTATTGTTATTAATATTTCAATTACCTTTTTATTTAAAAGTTATGTTTTATCATAATTATTACGATTATTATGAATATTATGATTATTAATAAATGGTCATTTTCTTTAAGACGTGTTGATCCCTGAAATTAAGAAATTGTCAATATGCTCCCTGAATCAAAGTGATGTAAACAAAACTGCATATGAACCTTTCATCAAGTACACCTATGTTTGACCCTTTGGTAAACACATCTAAGCAATTACCTCTCATCATTGTTGTCCACTATCATACCTTTAAGAAACTCACTCATTTTCAGCCATTTACCCACATTTCGAGACTGTCCCTGAAGCATGTAAATCTAAACAAACAGGAGACCCATCTGTCATCATACGCCACTGATGCCGACCCCATGCCATAAACTCACCGCCAGCTCTAACATACTCCCCCATGTTAATTTTATTCAAGGCGTCTAACGGTCTGTCCTTAGCCAGCTAGTTAAGAATGCTAAACCCAAAATGTTCCAAAAAGAGAAGATTATCTACGACCTTTTACTAAGTAGACAAAATTAGATGTTCTGTTAACCAAAATACATTAGTAACGTTCACATTATTGGATGGTGTAAATGTATCTTCAAATGTTTTTTGATCCAAAGTTAATTAACAATAGGCAATTACATTATAGTTATAGAAAAAAGTGCATCAACTCATCCCAGATCACATTTTGTGCTCTTGTTACTTTATTTTAGTATTCCCCAGGTAATGTAAAAAGAGAAGTGGAAAACTACTACAGTACTGTGTATACCATGCAATGAACATAATGCTTCCACAATCAGCAACAAAGTATTAGATAAGGGGGTGGGGAAGAATTTGTCATGTTTGTTTAAAATTGCTACAATAGATAAACCACCAAAATATTAAATTTGCTCATTTAATATAGGCTTACTGTGTTTATTTATCTTATAGACATAAAACATTAAATTCAATAATAGTCTTCAATAAAAAAAAAATAATAATTAATATTATTAATACAATTTTGTTTCATTTTAATCAATTCAAATCAGTGAATCAATCTTCTACTAATATTTTAAATATCATACTAATTAATTATTTTACTAACAGACAAAAAAATGTATAAAGAAAATATGGAGTAATCAGCGTAGCAAGCAAGCAAAACATAAGATGCCTACCTTTACAATTACCAAAAAAATCAAGTGAACTAGTTAAAAATCTAGAATTTTAATCAGGAGGTGGTATCCTCTTGAACCTGCATCGTGCGGTACACATTAAACGAGAAAACTTCCATTCCGTGAAAAACATGCATTTCAATCGAAGGTGATTAAATTGAATGATTGCCCCAATTTCTCACGGAAATGATGTACACGGACCAAAGTTCGCACAGAAAGCACTTTCTAGCAATTTAAATGATTTTAAGGTAAATTTATACTGCATATCTAGACCTACAATGTTACTCTTGACATTTAAGTATAAACTTAGCAAAAGGCATTAGCAGCCTTATTTTACCATAAAAACATCTCGACTCCTGTATATGCAACCTATGTTACGTTGGTACCTAAGAGCTTAGGACATGTGTAACACGGATTGAACTGGTTCATTGTAAAGTTGATATTGAGTGTGCTATTTCA